TGACCTGCCTACCCACTCCTTCTCCGCCGCACCCCGGCTGCTCAGACCATGGATCTCGGCAGTAGCAGCGACTCAGCTCCCGACTGCTGGGATCAGGTGGACATGGAAGTCCCGGGTTCGGCTCCGAGTGGGGATGGATTCACCTCTGCGTCCACAGCAGCGGCTGAGGCAGCGGAAGCGGAGGCCCAGCGCCAGCATCTCAGCATGGCCTTCAGCAGTCAGCTCAACATCCACGCCAAACCTTTCGTGCCTAGAGTAAGCGCTGCGGAGTTCGTGCAGTCCTTCCTGCCGGGATCGGCCCAGCCACCCGCCCCCACAACCTCCAGCAGCGACGAAACCTGCACCGGCGCCGGAGACCCTCAAGGTAAAAGGCTGGGATGGGGAGCACCTGTGGAACCTTCCAAAGATGGACCTTTAATGTCGTGGGAAGGTTCCAATTCAGCTGTTACCATGGAACTTTCAGAACCTGTTGTAGAAAATGGAGAGGTGGAGATGGCCCTAGAAGAATCGTGGGAGCTTAAAGAAGTAAGTGAAGCAAAGCCTGGGGGTTCTTTGGGAGATTCAGGGCCCCCAGAAGAAAGTGGCAAGGAAATGATGGAGGAGAAAGAGGTAATAAGGAAATCCAAGTCTATGGCCATACCATCTGGTGCTCCTAAGAAAGAACACGTAAATGTGGTGTTCATTGGGCATGTAGATGCTGGCAAGTCAACCATTGGAGGACAAATAATGTTTTTGACTGGAATGGTTGACAGGAGGACACTTGAGAAATACGAAAGAGAAGCTAAGGAGAAGAATAGAGAGACTTGGTATTTGTCCTGGGCCTTAGATACAAACCAAGAGGAACGAGACAAGGGTAAAACAGTGGAAGTGGGGCGTGCCTATTTTGAAACAGAAAAGAAACATTTCACAATTTTAGATGCCCCCGGCCACAAGAGTTTTGTCCCAAATATGATTGGTGGTGCTTCTCAAGCTGATTTGGCTGTGCTGGTTATCTCTGCCAGGAAAGGAGAATTTGAAACTGGCTTTGAAAAAGGTGGACAGACAAGAGAACATGCGATGTTGGCAAAAACAGCAGGGGTAAAATACTTAATAGTGCTTATTAATAAAATGGATGATCCCACGGTAGATTGGAGCAGTGAGCGATATGAAGAATGCAAAGAAAAACTGGTGCCCTTTTTGAAAAAAGTTGGCTTCAGTCCAAAAAAGGACATCCACTTTATGCCCTGCTCAGGACTGACGGGAGCAAATATTAAAGAGCAATCAGATTTCTGCCCCTGGTACACAGGATTACCATTTATTCCATATTTGGATAGTTTGCCAAACTTCAACAGATCAATTGATGGACCAATTAGGTTGCCAATTGTGGATAAGTACAAGGATATGGGCACTGTGGTCCTGGGCAAGCTGGAATCAGGATCCATTTTTAAAGGCCAGCAGCTTGTGATGATGCCCAACAAGCACAATGTGGAAGTTCTAGGAATAGTCTCTGATGATGCTGAAACTGATTTTGTAGCCCCAGGGGAAAACCTCAAAATCAGACTGAAAGGAATCGAAGAAGAAGAGATTCTTCCAGGCTTCATACTTTGTGAACCCAGTAATCTTTGCCACTCTGGACGCACATTTGATGTCCAGATTGTGATTATTGAGCACAAGTCTATCATCTGCCCAGGTTATAATGCGGTGCTTCACATTCATACTTGTATTGAGGAAGTTGAGATAACAGCCTTAATCTCCTTGGTAGACAAGAAATCAGGAGAAAAGAGTAAGACACGGCCCCGCTTTGTGAAACAAGATCAAGTGTGTATTGCCCGATTAAGGACAGCAGGGACTATCTGCCTGGAGACATTTAAAGATTTTCCTCAGATGGGTCGTTTTACTTTAAGAGATGAGGGTAAGACAATCGCAATTGGCAAAGTTCTGAAACTGGTCCCAGAGAAGGACTAAGCGATTTCAAATTGATGCCTCTGCACTATAATGTCTGAAAGATTGACTGCAATTTACTGCCCATTGACAGACATTTGTTCGCATTTTGCAGAGAAATGTCCACCGCAAAAATCCATGTTTTGTCAGCTTTCTCATGTTGAGATCTCAGCTATATCACTCTTGAATGCATACTCCAGTTTCTTCCCTCTGCACCACTCTGCTTCCTTGGACAGATCAGTAATAGCTTTGTAAGTGATGTGTATGTAATTGCCTACAATACTAAAAATAATATATTTTACATTTTTAATTTCCCTTTGGAATATCTAGACATCCTTTGTTCTGTGCAGAACAATCAGTGTGTCAGTGTGCATATGTTAATGAAGACAACTAACATGTAAATAAAGTGTTTCATTTGAAACTTCAGTATTTGAAATGTGTTTGAATAATGCTTGGATTTATATGCAGTACTATCTCATTAGGTTATTTTCTCAAGTAATTAAGTACGTTATTACTTGGGCTTAAAAAGTATCTCCCCTGTTTGAAATGAGGAACTGGTCAAAACCACACAGGTTTTGATACACAGGTGTGTATCAAAGGAAAACTTTACTATGGAAGAGACACTCTATCTTAGTGCCCTTCCCAGTTAGCTGTGTTTTCTGTGTCTAAGTTCAATTAGTAAAGGAGTTCTTCAACTTACTCAGTTATTATTTGAAAATGAAGGTTATCTTTTTTTTTTGTCTTCCATTAGGTCTCATAATGTTGAGCACGGCCAAATCACATGTGTTCCTAAGGTTTCAGACTATATGCATGTTGAATAGACACTTGTCTACTCCATCATCTTTAACATGCTTTGGTACCATTCACTGTGAAATTTGGGGTGCAAGACACAAAAATGGGCACAGTTACTGAAAAGGTAAATTGTTGAAATAGGACTATATGTTACTTACTAAAACAAAGGACTTGACATGGGAAATTAGCCTTTCTTGTGGTTTAGGATTCATTGTAATCTGTTTTCCAAACAAATTCTTGAGAACATCAACTGTGGATTCTAAGGTAGTTAGACTCATTGCCAGAAGAATGACTTTATGACCCTCAGAACTGTCAACAGCTTGGAGAATTATCTGTCTTGGTAAGTAGGTTTAGTGTAAACATCTTCCCAATGGTATGTAGAACCAGTATTTTTTTAGGTACAGCTCTATACTTGGAGTAAGAAACTTCTTTACTAACTGTCATGGGCAGGCTGGTAGATGTAGACACTGTGGCCACAACACCCTGGGCCTATGCTCGGGTAATGGCAGTGTCTTCTCCATGGTCTCTTTGTTTGTGTAAAGGCAGTGTCTCCTTCTCCATGCTCCTTTTCTTTGTGTGCCCATGAAACTTCTATCTCATGGTATTAGATCATTACTGACTGTGTTGCATTATCAACAGCATGACTTTTTTGTGCATCATCCACCACAGGTCATCAGAGCACCCATTAAGAAAAAGATTTTAGCTTGTCATGCATCAGCTAACCTAATCCACAGGGAACCCCATGTGGTGATGGATGCAGTCATTTAATCATGAGTGTAGGTAGCAGGAGTGTTGTTTCATCTTTTGTCATAAGAGTGCCTCCTTTTGGTTGTGTGCTAAACTTTGTACAGCAATCAGGCCAGTATTTCTTGATAAACATTATACCTTAACAGTCACTTTATTGAGGTTGTCCCCCTAGCCACGTTAGCCCCACTGTGTAACCTGTGTATCTTTAGCGTTGCACTTATTATAGATGTAAGCCACTACATCTAGCTCTTGGCAGTCATTTGAAAAAATTAATGCTGTTTAATGTCATAGTAATTTTAGTAACTTACCAATAGCTCTCTCTCTCTCTCTCTCTCTCTCTCTCTCTATATATATATATATATATATATATGTGTGTGTGTGTGTATGTATATATATATATGTATATATATGTATATATATATATGTGATATATATATATATATATATATATATATGTGTGTGTGTGTATGTATATATATATGTATATATATGTATATATATATATGTGTGTGTGCATTCTAGTCATATTCACACATACAAAACACACACACCCATACACATACACACTCTCTTTTCTACCAATTGGCTAAAAGAAAAGCCAGAACAGAACTGTTTCCACATGATTTGGATATTTTTTCAAAAACTAGTTCCTAAATGATTGTGAGAGAGACACACACATATAACTTTCAGAGAAAATGTCATCTTTGTGTCTATTTTAGAAATTATTCTTTTGCAGTCCAGTGAGAATCATACCATTCAGGATGTTGGGGACAACAGAGACTAGCTCTGTTTTTTTGTTTGTTTGTTTATTTTGTTGTTGTTTGTTTGTTTTTTCGAGACAGGGTTTCTCTGTGTGGCTTTGGAACCTGTCCTGGAATTCTCTCTGTGGACCAGGCTGGTTTTGAACTCACAGAGATCTGCCTGCCTCTGTCTCCTGAGTTCTGCGATTAAAGGTGCCACTACTGCCTGGCTGACTCTAGCTCTTTTAAGACAGTAGATATGAGCCCAGCATTGTGATGCTGGCTTGCAATGTAAGTACTTGGATAGCTGAGGCAAGAAGATAATGTGTTCAAAGCCAGCCTTGGCTACACAGTCAATTTGAGAACAGCCTGGCAACCTGTCACACAGAAGCACCAGTAGATGAAAAACATAGAATAGCATTTCTTTCTAATTTCTAGGTACTTTCCTTTAAAGTTTTTAGCATGTAATAGTTTTCAATATTTCAAATTAGGACCATTTGCCAGTACAGCATTAGTTTGCCCAGTACACTGAACTACTTGTAAAGCTAAAATCAGGGGAGTGCCCCTTTACAGAATTTCTGCAGTCTCAAACTCATATTAAATTAACTTTTGGATGGTTTAAATAAGAATGTCCTTCAAAGGCTCATGCATTTGAACACTCAGTTGTCAGTTGGTGGTGCTGTCTGGGGGAGGTTTAGGAGGTGTGGTCTTGCTGGAGGTAGTACGCCACTAGGGGTGGGCTTTGAGTGTTTGTAGTCTCACCCCACCTCCAGTTGCTCTCTCTGCTTCCTGCTTGCAGTTGAGGATGTGCACTCTCAGCTTCCTGCTCCAGCCGCCATGCCTGCTGCTTGCTGCCATGCTTCCCTGCCATGATGATCGTTTATCTGTCTGGATCCGTGAGCCTAAATAAACCCTTCATTCTGTAAGTTGCTTCTGGTCATGGTGTTTTATCTCAGCAACAGAAAACTCACAGAAGTTGGCAACTAGAGAGTAAGCTATTGCTGTACAGGACATGACCATGTTGTTTTAATTTTAGAGGAGTGTGGAAGACTGAGGCTTTGGATTTAGAAAAGTAGTTGGATGCTGTAAGCAGACATTAGTAGGACCTTTGAAGACGCTAGTGCTGAGAGGAACGCAGAATGTAGCAGCCTGGCTCACAAGGTTTCAGAAGGGACCAATATTAGCAATTGGACTAGAGCCCATTTCTGTGCTGTCTTGGCAAAGAAACTGGCTGCTTTCTGCCCCTTTCTTAAGGACTCTGCCTGAGGCTAAGTTTTCAAAAGTGGACTAGAAGTTCTACCCAGGAAAGTGTTGCACGTGTTTTGACATTTCCATCCTCCCTCACATGTCTTCCTCTGGTAGTTTCAGGTCTTCCATTAAGGCATTGGATCCATTTGTGTTGATTCTGGGACAGAGAGAAGGCTTCATCTTTCATTCTACTACATGTGAGTTGACACCATGTTTTTTTTTGACATCTTTTTAAGGATAAGTTGCTTCTAAACGCACACCATTATTTCTCTATTTTATTCCACTTCTCTCTGTGTTTTTTATATGCCAATACCATGTTTCATAGTTATTTCCATTTGGAATATGCAATACTTCCAAGCTTGGTTCTTTTTTTTCCTCAAGATCATGATTCTGGGACATATGTGCTTCCATATAAATTTTTAGGGTTGTCTTTCTAGCTCTGTGGACAATGCCATTAGTCTTTTGACAGGGTTTGCCTCGAATCTAAAAATTATTTTAGACAATATAGATAATTTAATAATATTAATTTGTCCAGTTCATGAAAACTGAGGAGTAATTTCTTTGGCAGAGGCAATTGCAATGCTACATAATGCTGAGTTTGTGGCATGACTTTTATTGATAAGGCTTTTACAGGTCTGTGATGAAATAGAGAAGGTGGGATAACAAGAAATACAAAGACAGTTTGGAGAGATAGATTGGCTGGAAGAGGTAATATAATTGTTAAGGAGACTAATATCACTAAGGAGAGGCCTGCTCTGCACTTGAATAAATGTTACGGTTCCTTCAGGGCAAGACTCCACCCAGCTAACCTTCTGACTTGGGAAAGAGAGCCTAGAGTGGTTTCTGCTTCTAGAAAGCAACAGCAAATAAAAGCCTGCTGCATGAGGTTCAGGGAAGTGTGGGTTCATCCCGAGCTGGCAGCCTAACTTGTCAGTATCATTCATGTGGTACTGGGTTTAGAGGCATGAAAGATGCAAGAGTGAAGGAGTTGTAGATTCCTCTTCTTTTGTGTTTACAGAGAGCCCAGGCAGTGTGTGTCAGGGGAGTCCCTGCATGAAGGCCCTGAGAGAAGTTGTGAAAATGAAGCCTGTCCCCAATATGTTAGTGATGTCCGACTTGGGAGATATCTGTCTAGGAGAGCTGCATACATAAAGTGAAACCAGCCTAAGAAGGAGATGTATGTTGTAGGTACCAAAGCTGAAAGGACAGAGCCTTCTAAGGCCTTTAATGTGGAACAATAAAGCTACAGGATTTAGTATTTGCCATTCTGGGTTCCTGTCTTCCTTTGGCCATTTTTTCTACCTGTGCCTCCTTTCTTCCCTTTGGGGATGGTAATGCATATTCTGTGCCATTGTATGTTGGAAGTATGTAATGTGCCTTTTTTTATTTACAGGGAGCTACAATTAAGAGATTGCCTTGAGTCTCAAAAGAGACTTTGCACGGTGGACTTTTAAGCAGTGTCAGGGCTTTTAAAAACTGGGGACATTTTAAAGAATG